GGGCGTCTACTTTTCTATATAAGATAATTAAATAAGCTTTATATATTGTCTTTAATAATATTTGTTTAATGTTGTACTGATTTTCCCGGTTTTCCAACGTTTTTCCTGGTTTCCTATGTTTTATTTCGGTTTTTCACATTTGCTGGGAAAACTCTTAGGAAAATCGAAAAACTACCTTCTTTAAGTGGCTCCCCACGCGATTTCCTTTCAGAAAAAGAGCTACACATAGAAATTCGAGCAAGTCGTCTGGTAGAAAAGTTCCGTACAGATTAATAAATAAACATCTTTGTAAAACTATGAGCTTCTTCGCTCCATTCAGAATTTAAGACAGTCTTCACCAGTGTCGACGCGAGTTTTTTTTTTTCTATGATACGATTTCAGTAAAATTGAAAAACACCTCTTAACTATAGCATTTCACAGCTATTTTTAACGAGGTGTTAACGAGGTCTCGATAAATGTTTCAAATAAAGTACCACCGGGCATGAATTTCGTATATTTTCAAATAAAACCGAAATTTTTACCGAAAAAAAAAAAAAAACCACAAACGTATCATTGTACAGCTAATATGGCTTCTTCGTTACAGCCGAAATCGAAGCTCCAAAAAGAAACCGTTCAAAGTCCCCGATCGAACGACTCGGCGAATAAAGATGCGCGCGTACATTTTATCGGGACACACGAGCACGGTAATTTCTATCGGCTGAAAAACTCGGCTGACGTAATAATATCGGCACGCAATCGAAACGTATAAAACGCGCCATACAATCATACGCGCGCAAACACACACACACACACACACACACACACACACACACACACNNTTTTTTTTTTTTTTTTTTTTTTTTTTTTTAAACGTCCATATTTAAAACATTCAAGGCGAAACGGCGGTTTTCGCCGTAAACCACGCGGCCCGCGCGCGTCGCGTATTATTACCGCCGCACACGCCCGGGCGAATAGCTGACGGCTTCGTGCGCACGGAGGTGCCTCGGCGCGTACAACGCGTGTACGCGGTTGTATAGAGCCGCGCGTGCATTATGATATTGGTCGGCACGAACGCGTCGCCGTCGTCCCGCGTTTCCAGGGGGACCGCCGCGCAGCGCAGCGCATTACGTATTCGTCGCGGCGTCGCCGGATAAATATACGGCCAGCGCTCGGGTTTTTTTTTTTTTTTTTTTTTTTTTTCTCTCTCCGGCCGTCGCGAATCATATTTTTCGTAAACGCGCTCGCGCGTGCCCCGGCGTCCCGTCCGCCATGTCGTATACGGCCGCGCCGACAATCGGGACGACCGCATTTCAAACGTTCGAATCGCAATAATATCGGCCGGGTCCGCGGCGAGCGCGCGGAAAACCGAACGTCGTTCGTTTGTTGTCAATCGCATCGCCGTGTGCAACTTGTTTGCCGTCAAGACGACGCCGCGACATGGCGACGCGACCGTTCAGCGGGGACGGCCGTCCGTGCCGTCGGTTTTAACATTTCTAGCGTATCGACCGTTATCGCGCCGTTTCGTCGCGTTCCCCCTCCCACCGTTATTTTAAACCAAAGGATTTCCGAATCGCGACGTTTCGTCTCGACGACGTTTTCACCATCGCGTTTGACAGTTCGACGCAGCGTTAGCGCTGAAAGCCGTCGGCATCGCGCACAGCGGTCCCTGCCGAACGAGACGATTCGCCGTGCCGGCGCGCGGTCGTACGGCGGTGAGACGGCGCACGCGGCGTCCTCCCGAGGCCCCTTCGGTGTTATTATCTGTCCGTGCGCACGGCGTACGCGTTTCGGGGCCGGCGCGCGAACTCGGTTTCGGCGGCGGCGCTGAGGTCGCGTCTCGACGACGGCGCGACGACGGTCTCCCAAGGTCGGTAAACTTGACACTACGCATACCGTTTTCGGACGGTCCACCGACGGCGTTTCGTATTAATGTTATTGTGATTATTATTGACGAGAATCGATTAAATTGAGGACGAATCGTGTCACCTTCGGGATGAACCCGATATAGAAGCAGAACGATATCATATTATTTATACAGCGCTATGCCTCCTCGTAGTACGTGTTATACACGCCTGACCGGCGAACGGCGAATTTTCGTCCGCTGCGAATACCAAATACGCGCGGCCGGCGATGTGCGTGGACGGGGTATACCTGACTACCTAATATTGTTAATATTATACCGCGGTTCGGTCGTCGTGATGGCAATAATTATTATTATGCACGACGGAGAGACGACTAGGACGACTAGGACGACTAGGACGACTAGGACGACGACGACGATGACGACGACGATGACGACGACGGGTGACGGCGAGCTGCACAAGGCGAAACAGATTATTATATGCATACATATAGGTATCTGCTGGTATATACCCGTGAAATATTTTTTAACCCACGTGACGTATATACACATGCTTATAATATCTAATATTATACCTGCATGTATAATATGTATGATACTGCCGTACGCTCAATTTTATCGAATATTCATTTTTTTTTTATACCCGCAATAATTGGCCAATATAAATCGATACGCTCGGAGGAATCACGTACGGGCCGGGCGCGATTACCGATTATCATACTATTATTATTACAATATTATCGTTATTATGCTTCCGGAGACGACGATGATTCGTTCGCGCGAGGTTACCCGAATCGTGACGCGTACCTACGCGCGCTTTTAATACCCATAATATACTTGCTCGAACAGTACGCGGCGTTTACCGTTTTCCGTGAACTTCGGACGAAATATTTCGGTCCCGTCTGGAAACGTTGGTATTTTAAGCATTCGTGTTCGTAGCCGACGCGTGTGATCTTTTACCCGTCGGATAAGGTGTCGATCCTGTTAACCGTGACGTCCGCGTAACTGTACGTGACCCAGAAAAAAAAAAAATCCAATTTTCTTGTATAACAGACTCCAGCGATATTTTGAAGTTATACGTTTCGATGGTCAAGTGTCAGGGGCCGACTGGACCACTGTGCACCCCGACTTCTGATTAAAAAACAATTACAAACCAAAGAAAAAATGCGCTAATTGTACTGAGATTTCGGGGTTGCCCCCGCCGGTCCCGGACAGACGTTACCTCACGGGTGATTTCCCACATTCGTTTCTGGATCATTCCACGTGGCCGGCGTTGCGTGTTTTCTAGTAGGAAAGATTTATTTAAGGTCAAAGATGCTGGAACATCATCTAGTGTCCCAGCTGATATAGATCGGACCTTTTAGAGACTTCTAAGTCTAGCGGTAATGATCTCGTTAGAACTTTTAATGCTAATGTGGGTGCCGTTCCGTGAGCGCCAATTGTTGAGAGAAAGGTCAGCCGCTGCGCCCTATTCAATGTAGCAGCTGATCCCCGTAACATAATTAACGTGCGCCGCAAAGTTGAGTTTTCGAACAAGAATGATCCCGAGGTATTTCTGGATCAGCGGAGAACGTGCGTGAGAGAGGGCCTTTGACTAATAGTGATTTGGTTTTCTCCACGGAAAAACAGAGCTTGTTTCGCGTTTCTACACGAGAGCAGTGGCGAGTGTTTGATCGGCCCTGCTTTCGATCTCTGGTCGAGAGTCGGCCTACGACCATCCCGCCATCTACGTACCCGAAAACGGTAACCTCTTCGGGCATGGTAGCACTAAGTAAATCATCGAAGAGGAGGTTCCATAAGTTTGGTGCAAGCACCGACCTCTGGAGGTAGCTCTTCGAGATTTCCTTCTAGACTACGACCGACGTATGCCGAATCACTGCACGGCGACCCGATAAAAAATCCTTCACAAGATTGTACAGGTCTGGCGGGATGTCGCGACGACGCAATGCTGCCAGGGCGGACGGCCACCAAGCGTTATCGAAGGCTTCCGGAAAATATCGAGAAACACAACGGCAAAATACTTGGCGAACACGCTACGCACCGTAGTGAACAGTGTATTGATCGCGTCTTCCGCCGAGCGCTTAGGCATGAAACCAAATTGCCTGACCGACAAGGGAGAATGACTAGCAAGGTGATCTCGAAGCCGCCCGCATACGAGTTTTTCCAACACCTCGCCCAAAACCGGTAGCAAACTAATTGGGCGATATGACTTCGGATCCGACTTATCCTTCGGAACGGAAACACGCCCACCCATAGGCATGAGAAATACAACACCGTGATCTCCGAGACAAGAACCGGCAAACCCTGTGAGAGGATGTAGGCTATAACCCGGTCAAGTCTAGGCGCCTTGCGCTTACCCATCAACAGAACGGCGGTGGTTACGTCTTGAATCGTAAACGTATTAACTTCTGAACGTGCAATGTGCCCACAGGGGGTGGTAGCTAATGCACGTAACTCTCGGTAATGGTCGTCTTCGCCCACTGTTTTGTTCGACGGCATGAGCGAATTGATCATAAATTGGAAGGTTTGAGGTACTGTTAAAGTGCAGCTATTATCTTGGAGGCGGAGCGCCGTTGTATCGGACCCCAGTGGCCATCGTTACCCACTCTCGTCACAAACTTACGCCAAAATGTGACCTTCGTTTTACGGATGAGCCGAACCAAGACGCATTTGAGAGAAACGCATTCCTGTCTAAATACCTCGCGGTCGGCTGTGGCTGTCGTTCGTTGAAACCATTTTCTGGCTCGGCTACTTCGACCGTCCACCAAGGCATGGGTTTTGGGCCCGCACGATGGGAGATTGGCATTGAGACGACACATGCCTTAACGAGAGCGTTTAAAATCGCCTACATACCGTACTCAATTTCGGCTCTATCGGTCGCATCGTCAAATGGGGAAAGGTTCGCTTCCAGACTAGCCCGGAAAGCGGACCAATCAGCCTGATTCTGAACATATCGACCAGTGCGATCGCGAATAGCCCCACTACTTTCGTGACCGCCCCATGACAGTGTGATCACCCGGTGATCACGATCATCTTACCTGACTTTCGCTGACTTTGACATCCCAGTCTTGGGAGTCTGCTGTTGCAACCGGATATTTTTGGCTGTCTTTTCCGCTACACGCACCAGTTTCGTAATTGGGGTTGCCCATGAGCAAATTTTCGCGGCTGCCACCTTCGTATACCAAGGTGACGTACTTACTTACGTTTCCTGAGGCTTAGGGGCCAATTCGTCCGAATACCGAGATGGTTTGATAGTTGTACCGTTTTACTGCAATATTATCTATTATCTATTATGTATTCTGTGTTATTATTGCGTTGATATATTACATTATTTTTTTTATCCAAACCAAATATAATGTAATCACCTGTATAACAAAATATTAAAAAAAACCTCCAGTATAAAAAAATACTGGTACTCATATCAATATTAACAATCAATGTTATTAACTAACTATGATTAAATTACCTTTTACAAATATTGATAAAGTTTAACTCTAAACTTGGTAAATTCTTCTTAAATCAGGATTTGTCGCTTTGTCATCATTCTTTTCTATTCTAATCTGTTTTTCCATTCCAGTATTTTTCAGACCATTTAAATCTGGTCCATTATTGGTCTCATAGTATCACAGTGATGGGAAAATTGTTAAAAAATGGCTTGTTGGTAATGGTGGAAATGGAGAAGATTGTGGTATTTGTGATGGAAATGGGTAGAGGATAGGAGGTAACACAATAAGGTTATAGTAACCGTTTGTGAACACCATTTTTTGTTCCAGTTTCGTCTGGTTTAGACAGATCTGGCTTAATCCAGCCAAGCCCGGCCCAGCCCAGTTAGGTCCGTTCAGGACAGTCCGGGCCAGTCCACTCCATTATGGATCAGTCCGGCCCATTCCAAGTCCGTTTTCCGGTACCATGTCGGGCCAGTAAGGTCCGTTCGGGACAGTCCGGTCTATTACAGTCCAGTCTAAGTCCGTTTTCCGGTACCATTCCGGGCCAGTCAGGCCCATTCAGGACAGTCCAGTCCGGTCCATATGGTCCAGTCTATTCCAAGTCC